TATTCCATTTGAGGCCCCAGAAACCCTAGACCTCAACACCGCAGGTGAATTCAGCAGCAGCACATGTGTGGGCTAAGGTCTGAGAGAGGAGTGGTGTGGAGGGCAGTTAGCAATCTTTCTCTTCAGGGATGTGGTGATAGGAATCTTGTATGAGCTGGTAAGAATGGAGAGGGAGCTGAGACCTGATATGTTTGGGCCATTGTTTGGCAGCCATAGCACATTATCTCTCTGTACACGAGGGTTAATCTGTGATGGCCAATAAAGGTATAGATTCCTGGTACGTGGCAGTGGTTTTGTATAATAAACACGGTCAAGTGCCAAGAGATAACTCAGTCCAGCTCTGATGTGTGTGGAGTGCTTACAGCCTGGGCTAAGTCCTGAGCCACGTTTTTCTTTCCTATGAAATATCTGCCACCTGCTGTCCTCTTTTACAGGAACAGGAACTGAGGCTCAGGTTAAGTCATTTGCTAAATCACACAATCAGGATTCAAACCCATATCCTGTCTGCCTTCAAGACCAGAATAATGCCTCATTGTTGACTAATAGTAATAACTTAGAGCATTTTCTGCTTCCTGGCTTTCTCCATCTTTTCATCTCCAGTGTGGCTCCCTGTGACAGCTTGAAATTAGTTCATCTCTCAGCATTAGAAACAGCAGCAATTCACCAGACCAAAGGGTTTGTTCCTCACCCCAGTGCAACATATTTATTTATATATCTTATTCTATGGTTTTTATCATCATTAAAGTGGCTCTACTTGGCCCTTTAAGAAGCTAATTAATCACTAAATATAGACTACAACTTGTTCTTTTCGGCCCTCTGCATGCTTTTCCCCCCATTGTGCGATGCCATCTGGTGCCATGAGCTCATGCGTTCTGTGTTCTTTTGCAGAGCGCCAGATTCATCCTCTCTAAGCCCAGAAAGCAGGGTTGATTTCAGAGTTTACATGTGTGGCTTTGTAAGCACTGGAATCTAACGCCTCCTTGTGGAATTCCCCGGTATCACCCCTTAACATTACCACAGGAAACTTCTGTCTTTGCCCCCATCTATCAATACTGTATGTGAATACTTGTGTAAACATCTCTCTTTTTAATCAATAGCACATACTTCGTTTTTGGCAAGCAATCGAGCAGCTGCAGGTCTCTTCTCGTGTGATTTTTGTCACATTTCTCTTTGTCAGTTTAATGCATGTGCTGGGGGAAGCCAAACCTAAGTATGCTTTCCCTTTCTAATCTGTTTGACTTTCTGCTGTGACAGTGGAACTAGTATTTAAGACCAAGGACATCAAAATCTCACGACTGGTCTCTGACATGACTGCTGATCATCCCTCTCACTTTCTCTTTTAATTCTGCTAAAGTCTCTGTAATCATTTTCCCAGGGAGCGGAGCACCAGGAACACAGGACGTTATTTTACGAGCTCTGCTCAAGAGCTCTGGGCAGACCCGTCCTCTTTGAAATCTTTGAGCGCCACTCGCTAGATCTGGTCCCTCCCCTCACCCTGTTTGGCTTCTCATGTTCGCATCCTTGGTATCTTGAGTGTAGGCTGAGATCCCAGTGGGGAAGGAAAGGCTATTTGGTAGTGTGTACACCACTTACCTCATTTTTGGCGCAAGCAGAGCGCCCAACCAGCCGCTACCCTCTTCCTGTTGTATTGCTGCCTGTTGAGATCCTGCCCACTCCCTTCAACGGTCAGAGAAGGAGCTGGGTCCTGAGAACATTTGCAGTGGTCTAAGGGACCACATACTTCCCTAAACACAGAAATTGTTCTGAGGCCAATTCCTCTGAGCCTGAGACAGCTGGTTTCTCCAGTTCACATCCCATCTCCAGCATGTAGCATCTTATAAGAGATACAGGTAGGGGGAAGCTGTTGAATCAGTCATGCAGCCAGTCAGCTTCCAAATAACATGTATTGGCATGTGTAGAAAATACACAGACAGAGCCCTCCATCAGGAGTCAGTTCTGTTCCCCCAAGTGCTTATGTTGGTACTAAACTGTAAAAAAAATGATTTTTCATATTAAATTAACCATGTATTTTGGAACTACAACTGTAAAAATCTACAGAATTAACGTGAATTTCTAAAAGGTTAAAGAATTCTACCCTTCCTTTCCTGAGTGGTTTGTCTAACAGCAAATACATTAAGACTCACTTCCTTTCTGTGGCCTTGGGCTAATTACTTAACCTCTTTGAGCTTCAGCTTTCTTTCTGTTTAATGGAAATAACAATACCCAGGGTCATTGATGAGTGTTAACTGGACTCTTTTCACATATGTGTGGTGTGCATGTGTAAGTGTATTCCCACGTGTGTGGGTGTGCATATGTGTGGAGGCCAGAGAATAATGTGGGGTAGCTTCCTCAATCACCCCCCACCTTATATATTGAGACAGGGGATCTTACTTGAACCCACAGCCTGACAGTTCTGATAGTCTAGCTAGCCAGCTCGTCCTGGGGATCCCCCATCTCTGCCTCACGAGTGCTGGGATTTCATGTGGGCTGCTATCTCCACCCCCATTTATGTGCATGCCGAGGAATCTAAACTCCAGTGATCATGTTTATGGAGTGAGCTCTTTTCCTCACTGAACCATCTCTTCCAACCCCTCAAATGGATTTTTTTGTCACATGCTTTTGCTGTGTGTTTGAGATGATCAGCTTGTTTCTATCTTTTATTCTATATATGATATGCTGCATAAATTACTTTTTGTATAGCAAACCAATTTGCATTCCTGAGATCAATCTCACTTGTTCATGATGAATATTTTATTTTTTTTTAAAGACAGCATCTCCCTGTAGCCCAAGATGGCCTGCAACTTGCTATATAGACCAGACTGGCCTCTGTTTTACAGAGATTCACCTGCCTCTGACTCCCAAGTGCTGAGATAAAGGCATGTGTCATCATGCATGGCTGCATAGATCTTTTTGAATGTTGCTGGATTCAGTTTGCTATTATGGTGAAGGATCTTTTGCCTATATAGGTAAAGAATATTATATAATTTCCCAGGGCTAGGGATATGGCTCAGTAGATAAAATGTTCGCCTTGTAAACATGAGGACCTGAGTTTGATCCCTAGAACCCATGTTTTTTTTAAAAAAGAGCTTGGTGTGATGATGCAAGTTTGTAATCCCAGCACTGGGAATAGGAGACAGGTTGGTCTCTGGTTTACTGGCCAACTGGCCCATGCTGCCTGCTGAGTTCTAGGCCAGCTTCCAAAGCAAGCAAGCAAACACAAAGGCAAACAAAGCTGGCAGTGCCTGATGAATGACACCTGAGGCTGTCTTCTGGTCTCCCTGTGTGGTCGAGCACATACACACATGCACACAAGAATATAATATGATTTCCTTTTCTTGTGATGTCTTTCGTTTCATGTTGTAGAATGAGTTAGGAAATATTACTTCCACTTCTATTTGTTTTTGTCTGAAAATTTGTTAATTTTTCTTTAAACAGTTGGTAAAAACTAACTAGCCAAGCCATCTAGTCTTGGACTTTTCCTTGAAAATTTTTACTAAGTTAATTACTAACTCAATCTCTATTCCTAGTGTAGGTACATTCAGATTTCCTATTGTTTCTTTTTTAAAATTTTTAATTATTATTTTTATTTTATGCATATGCATGTATTGCCTGCATATAGGTTAGTGCACCTGTGTCATGCAATGCCTGTGGAGGTCAGAAGAGGCGGTCAGGTGCCCTGGAACTGGAGTTACAGACAGTTGTTAGTGGCCATGTGGGTGCTGGCATTTGAACCTGGGTCTTCTGCAAGAATAACCAGTGTCCTTAACCACTGAGGCATTTCTCCAGCCCCTCTTATTGCTTCTTGAATTCGTCTTTGAGTTTGTGCCTTTCTAGGACTTTGTTACTGCACCTGTCTTACCTACTGTGCTGTCATATATGTTTTCATGGTATCCGGTGTTCTCTTATACTCCTTTTTATTTCTGTAAGATTAATCTCCTTTTGCTGTCTAGTTTTTTTTTTTTTTTTTTTTTTTTTTTTTAATTTCACTTTGCTTTTATACTTACTCAGATTCTAACCATTAGAGGTTAATTTGCATCTGTGAGGATTCTTTTCTTAACAGCTGCTGGGGTTAAAGGACTATCATACACATACATTGTTTTGAAAATTAGTTTAATGAGATTTAATTTATTCAAACAGTTGGCCAGGTTGATTTACACTGAGAGAAAGTTTTGTTTGTTGCTGAATTTTAAGAGAAGGCAAATACTGTCCAGGGGATTCAGAAGGCTTAAGGAGAAGAGCAGATGTATAAAGTCATGTGATAAACACATTGGGTAGGGGTGATGGGAAGGAGCGGTACTAGATGAATTAATGGGTACATGTAATCATAGCAAAGTATTGTGTGTGCCTAGGACTGGCCATGTCACCATAAGGGAAGTAAATAATTTATTTTCTGCCTTTCGACTTTTATTATTAGCTTTTCTCAAGGTCTGTAGTTCAAGCCAGTCACCTTCCTGTTAAAGAGTGACAGTAGCTGCCTGAGGGTTAGATAGACTTTTGTGTGGAGATGTAAAGATCACCTAAACCATCATGTTGAAGTTGATTTTATGGGAAAATATTTCCTAGTTTCCAAATAACATACATCCTAATGAAATTTTTTATGCAACTTAATTCAGAGTTTGAGGCTAGCTCAAGTTCAGCCATATCACTCAAATGTTAATTTTAAATTCTAAGCCCATTTCTTAAACCATCTCTATATTTTAGGCCATATTTTTCTTGAATAGCTTTGTGTTTAAGTCGTACAAACTCAGTATTGAAAAGACTTTAGTAGAATATATATGCATATATATAGCTTAATGCATGCAAAAATGGAATGTGATTTTTAAAAATATTTCAGTTTTTAGGTTTTTGCTACCATGAGTTGCCTCTGTTAATGATAATAATCAAGAAATCCCTTTACCTGCTCCCATTCAACCTGATTTAGGATAAATTATTCTGCCTTGGGCTCTAGAATTCTATTATAAATGAGAAGGCTGGTAATCGCATTTCTTATTTCCTTCAAGGTATTGCGCAGCGATGCACAGCTATCAAGTACCACTTCTCTCAGCCAATCCGCTTAAGAAACATTCCTTTCAATTTAACCAAGACAATACAGCAAGATGAATGGCACCTACTTCGTAAGTATTTCTGCGAAAGGATCGGTCTGGAAATGTTTTTCTTCTGGGACAAAAACATCTTCCCATCACCCTCTTATGTTTGGACTAAAAGGTGCTTAACCTATGTGAGCTTTTGGGTCCAACTGAACTTGGTCAGATGCTCTAAGCCTTAATTCCCTGAGCTGTGTGGCCACAACTTGTTTATAAACCAATTGTAAGAAAATTAGGCATGAAACCCTACAACACAGTGCAGTGTGTCTATCTGCTTGGGTGGCATTTCTACGTAGCAGGTGACTGAATCTTTCTAAAAAAATATTTTATTTCTTACTTTAATTTTATGTGTATGAGTGTATTGCCTGCTTGTATGGAAGTGCACCCATGTCGTGCAATGCCCATGGAGGTCAGAAGAGGGTGTTGGATCCCCTGGGATGGGAGAGATTGAATCTTTTTTTTAAAAAGATTTATTTTTATTTTAAGTTACATGTATGTGGAGGGTGGGCCTGGGGCGTGTGTGTGAGTGCAGGACGTGACCTCAGAAAACAGAGCATTGGAATTCCTCTGGCACTCTGGAGTTACTTATAGTTGTGAACCACCTGAAGTGTGTTCTGGGAATCAAACTCAGGACCTCTGGAAGGGAAGTACATGCTCTTTATTTGCTGAGCCATCTTTCCAGAACATCTGAACTTTTTCTTCACCAAGTCATGGGTACAAAGACCTGTCCTGTCGCTTGTCTTATAACCCCAAAAGATTATGCCTTCATTGCTCTTATTTTTGTTTTGTTTACATAGTATTTATTTTACTTACTGTGTTTAGGTCAGATCATTGTATTTTTGTCAAAAATACCTTTGTGAACATATGTCATACCTTTCTCAGAGGTAATCTGTTACCCCTATATCTCAATGGAAAGAACTGTTCTTTTTCACTGTCAGGAAAATGTGAAAATCTAGACAGGATCATGCAATGTGAAACTAAAGGGGGCTGACCTTTACCTGGAAATTGTTGATCCAAGCTGCCTGGTGATAGGTAGCACGTTTGAAAACAAAGCAAGGCCCTGAGTTCTTCGCAGGGCTTTCCAGGGTCAGAAGTCAACATTGCCATTTGGTTTTTCAATGAATGAGCAGCAAAGACTGCAGTGATCGTGTTTCCTGAAGAAAAAGCCACTGCAGATGACTACAAATCTCATTTTGTAAATAAATTGCCCTGTAGAGGACAAGGCTCTGTTTCAATTCCCTACACAAACATTAAAGCTCATATAGTGTCCTGACCAGTAGTCTAATACAAATATTGGCTGGTAACTTTAGGACCTGGAAAGTCATTGGATAAAAAGCAGTTTATGTCCTAAACCTATGACTGACTTCTCAAAAGTTCTTTCTTGCTGGCAAATCTTAACTGCCATTTCTCAGTAAATTCAAGTGGGACTCTTATCTAAGTGCCCGGACTTCTTAATTCTTTATGAGCACATTTGAACGTCCTTGTCTTAAGCATCTGTGAAGATGAATTTCATTGTTATTGGCTCTGGCCAGGTAGAAAAATCATTCTAGGATCTTGCAATAGGACCGCATCCCTTTAACCTTGGTGTTGGCCAGCAAGGAAAGAATGTGAGCATTCATCTGGGGGAGTTTCTCATAGAAAGATGCTTCAGCAGGCTTACACCTGGTTCCTTCTAAGAAGGCCACTCCTGGTGGGCTGTATCACATTTAGCAGATATGGATATGTCTGGAACTGATGTCAGTCCCACAATGGTTGTATCTAACCTTTGTGCTTTCCAGCAATCACAGGGAATTTGAGAGCTTGCAAGATAGATAATAATGACTAAACTATTTTATTTCCTGTGCTCGGATATGGATATCTCCAAATTGCTTATACCTATAACATTAAATGCAGCATCTCTAGATTGTCTTTATCCCTGGCCCCTTATTTTGTGATGCTAGGCTTTCTCTTAATGCCATTTTAATTTGGATTAAAAATTTTAAATCTTTGAGCTGGAATTTAGGAAATCCCTTTCAAGGAAAAGGGACACTCTACATATGATTAAGATGCTGGGCCAAGATTTAAGGCTATTGCGACATGTCCTCCCTCCATGCAGTGACCCCGAGATGCCCAGGAGCTGTACAAACTAGCCAGGTGGCAGCTGTTTAGCTACTTCTGCAGTAGCAGAGAAGCCCACACTTCAAACCTGCTGTGGGCCAAGACGTGCTGCAGCTGTTCTTGGTCCAAATTTGTTGCCTGGCCTTGGGGATAGCTGTATATGCTTAGGAACTATTGTTTTAAGAAGCATCGGAGAGCTGGGCATGGTGGCACATGCTTTTAATCCCAGCACTTGGGAGGCAGAGGCTGGCATATCTCTGTGAGATCGAGTAGACATAAATGAAAAGCAAAAATAATTGGCATCCATGATGCTCCAACAAAACCCTATTTCAGCATAAACTCACCTTGTAAGTTCTTCCTCCAACACCGCCAGGTTAGTAAGAGCCACTGTTGTGGTGGTAACATTCATCTCTGCTGCTATTTATTTATTTATTTATTTATTTTTTAGACAAAGTCTCCCTGTAGCTCCAGCTAGCCTGAAACTTGCTATGTAGCCCTTGACCTCACAGAGATCTGCCTGCCTCTGCCTCCTGAGTGATGAGATTAAAGACATGTGCCACCATGCCCAACCCTGCTGGTCTTTGAAGGCTAAGGATGTATTTCTCGAATCAACCTCACTCAGCTTACTATGTAACTTGCTCTCCTAGGTTTACCCTGGGGCCTGTCGCCCTTCCTGTTCTGTCATTGTAATTGACTTCTTACATGCAGAGGGGAATACTGATCCTGCCATTGGTTATACCCACAGATACCAGATATGTGAATTTTCCAAACCCTTCATCCTGCAGGCTCTTGGCCTGCTTAAGTAGTTTATTTTCACAATGTGAACAGAACTCTCTGTTCAGTAGTTTCAGTCGTTTCCCTGACTCTGCCTCAGATTTTGACTGTTTCTGTTTTGAGATTAGATCTAAGAAGAATCACTGCTGGCTTCCTGGGCATGGCGGTAGCTGTCCTGCTGTGTGGCTGCATCGTGGCCACCGTCAGCTTCTTCTGGGAGGAAAGCCTGACCCAGCACGTGGCTGGACTCCTGTTCCTCATGACAGGTATGCCGCATACCACAGGCGACCTCTCCCAGCTCTGTCTTCATCCAGCCTCACTTGGTCACATCTCCAAATTTTATTTTCACTGGTGAGAAGAGAGCCACTGGAAATTCCTTCAGCTTTGGTGGGAAAGACAGACTTTAGAGAAAACAGTACACAAAGTGTATCTCCGGTTTCCCCAAGGCGGTATTAGTAGGGCTGAAGAAAGTGCCCTGTGTTTACTCCCCAGTGGAGCCAGTTCTGGTATTTTCTGTCTCATTGCTTATGAGGAGTGCTCATGGAGTGGAAGGGTGTTAGAAAAGTTCCCAGGCTGAGAGTCAGCTCAATGTCCCCCTGCAGGAGGTGGTGTCATTTGCCTCCGCAGATGCTGTTTGGGGACTTCCCATGTCAGACACTGCTGTAGGTCTTAGAGACACAGTGAAGAGAGCAGGCAACACCCTGTCCTTTTTTATTTTGGAGAGACACAAACAATGATTTGTGATAGTAATAAAAGCTGTGGAAAAAGTGAGCAGGGCGCAGTCAGGTAGGGCTGTGCTGATTTCTGAGTTAGATTGTGAGGAGCAGCCAGTGAGTGGCTGGGAGAGAGCTGTGGGCTGAGGCAGTACCAGCACCAAAGCCTGGGCAGGAGCTGTGGAAGGAAGAGAGGAGGGAAAAGGGAAGGAGCGAGTCATGCACGGTGGGAGCCATGGTCAGGGACAAAACCTTTAGAGATTTCTTGATGAAGAGAAGAGTTTGAACTTGAAGTTACAGTGATAGAAACTGCTAGACGGTTTTAAACAGAGGTTGGCTTTACTTAAAACCTAAGGGGTGTGGGAAGCATGCCTAGGGAGTTGGGAGTCAAGTTGATGGCTAATGCTAGCTGAGGTAGCCTCAGAGGAACATGGTTCCTTTTGACTCTTCACAAAACGTTAGTATGTCAGTAATGAGTGTATGCCAAGTCAAGCTTCACAGAATATACCCAGCTGAGAAACAATACCACCCAAGATGTCCATTTCTAGTAAGTTCATTTCCACTTCCCTGGAGTTCTGCTACTCAAATGACCATGACAAGATGTTTCCAACACTTTTCACTGTGACGGGTCATTTATCAAGCCTGTGTTCACACAAGACAGTGACATGACTCCAGGGCTGACATCATGTTTTTCTTTTTTATTAGCATATATTAACTGTACAAAATAATGGATTTCATGATATTTTCACACGTGCCCTCACCGTCTTTTGTGTATCTTTCTCTCAGAGCCAACAAGTAGAAGGTGCCTTGTTTTCTAGCATGCTCACCTAGTGGTCATAACGTGACAATAGACAGCATCCCTTCATTTCACTCTAGCCTTCCTCCTTTCCATGCAGTAACGTGGCCTAGTCTGTGGCCTATCAGACATGTCCTGATAAAATGTTCAGAAGTCCCATGGGTCCAGCTTAGTTTTGAGCAGAAAACCAAGTTAATTTGTCCGGATTTTGGTGAACATCCGGTGGCTACCAATGACGTAATACAGAAAGACTGAATCTAGTTCCAGAGGTTTGGGAGGAGGATTTGAACCCTCCAGGCCAGCCTATGGGTATCTGTCCAGTGAGCAGACACAGTGATGGAACTGTCCAAGGATTCCCCAAAGCCTTGCTGGGGCCTCGTGGCTAGTAAAATCTCCTCTTATTTATTTTTCCCCACAGTTTTGGTTTCTGTCCCCATATACACCGAAGAAGTATAGGTTCGCTTCCTCCAAACGGTTGTTTGGTTGTTAGTTTTTCTCCTTCCTTCCTTCCTTCCTTCCTTCCTTCCTTCCTTCCTTCCTTCCTTCCTTCCTCTCTCCCTCCTTCCCTCCCTCCCTCCCACTTCCCTTCCTTCTTTGAGACAGGGTCTCATGTATCCTAGGCTGGTCTTGAACTGGCTATGTAATAAAGGATGATCTTGAATGTCTGATCCTACTGTCTCATCTCCCAGGTACCTGGTATTACAGGTATGAGCCACCACACCCAGTTTATGCAGGACTGAGGACTGTACCCAGGGCTTTGTGCATTCTAGGTAAGCATTCTACCAACTGGGCTATATCCCCAGTCCTAGTCTTGAACTTCTAATCCTCCTACTTCAGTCTCGCAAATGCTGGGGTTTTAGGTGTGCACCACTGTGCCCTGTGACATCTATGGAAAGCAACTAAGCTGGGCTGGGTATCCAGGGGTAAATGGGACCCAGTCCTGCACTGGCATGCACAAAGGCCCACAATGTGTGTACTTTGAGCTTGGACAGGTGTGGTGGGAGCTCAGAAAAGGGAAGTGCACTGAAACAGGATGCTAGAAGCCCCAGAAAGAGGTTGGGGGCCTTGAGTGGCAAATCATTTGGGGTAGGGGTTAGGCTCTGGCTTAGTGACCCAAGAGTGGGCTTCCTTCCTTCCTTCCTTCCTTCCTTCCTTCCTTCCTTCCTTCCTTCCTTAATTTGTTGTTGTTGTTTTGAGATAAGGTCTTCCTGTAGCCCCAGCTAGCCTGGGACTCACTATGTAGACTAGGCTGGCTCCAGTCTCACAGAGATCCACTGGCCTCTACCTCCTGACTGCTGGGATTGCTGGCATGTACCATCATGCCTGGCTGTTTCCCCCAAACTCTGGAAAGGCACAATCCCTTACTAGGGAAATGCAAGAATCTCTAGATTTGACAAAAACCACAAACATTATTGTTAAGGACATTTAAAAAAACATGGGTGGTGCATGAATAGTTAAGGACGCTTGGCATCTGAAATGGCTGTTAGCTTTGTAATAAATCAGAAGACTACACAAGTTTGGCCTAGCAGTACTCCCAGAAAGGCCAAGGAGATGGTCTGGTTTTTATAAAAAGGAATGTGGAAGTTTAGTATGAGTAGTCACAGGAGAGAACCAGCAGTTGCCAGGATACTGTGTTCTTCTGTCCCTTGCAGCGGGGTTTAGAGATTCCAGGTTTTTGTTGTTGTTTTGGTTTTTCAGGGTTTTTTTAAGATTAAAAAAACTAACATTGCTTTTTTGAGAAATAATATGGTTATTATGAAAAACTTTGTATAGGTCAGAGAAGTTGGAAAGGGGGTGAACTCACATTATAGGAACAGTGACAAATTTCACATTATTGTTGAAGCTTGGTAGTATAATTTTGTCAGTGAACAATACACAAAAGTTATCATAGACATATAGAATTTCAAATTTATATTCCAAGATATAATTACATATTTTCAGTTTGAGAATTATATCAGTTTAGTTATTATAGTACTTTTTTCCCTAACTTCATAGACTTTGAGTTTTATCTCTAGAAGTTTGATTAGGTGAAGGCAAACTGGGGCTGTAGAAGAGTAATAGAAAAGCAATGGAAAACCTCTTGGTGCCTGGTAATGGGAGAACTCCAACATCAAGGCCTGGATACTCAGGACCACGTGCGGAATGAGGACCACAGCTTGCTAAAGAGGCTCTTTTGTAAACACTGAGAGATAGCTGTTAATCCACTACATGAGCTAAGTTAGCTAGAAAGTCTTCTGAGGCAGTCGTGGGAGATGACAGCACCGAAGGGTTAAAGGAATTGATTTTAATTAAGCAGACTGTCTGCAGCAGCTCTAGACAGCAGCCTTCCCATAGATTGTGGATGCTAAACTTAGCCCCTTCTAATAACGCTGGTGTCTTCATTCTCTGCCTGAACTTATTAGCCAACCCTTCACGAACATCAGTGATGTGACAATTGAGTTGCTGAAGTGGAAAGTGTCTAACAACAACCTTCCTCCTCCTGCCCCACTGCATGCAGACCAGCCCTGAGGACTGGAACAACAGCTTTGGATTATCAATTCACACCTGGGAGCTGGGCTATACCATCCTCACTGCCCCGCCCTTGCTCTTTCCTTTGCAAGGGTTCCTTGAGCAGGATCTGAGGCAGGGAGATCTCACCTCCCCCAAGCGGTCTCACATGACACTTCTGATGTCCTGTGCACACACCCAGGCACAAGGACATACACAGAGGCCTGAGGCAGAAAGTCTCTCCAGGAGTTAAAAAAAAAAAAATTATTTATTTTATGTGTATGAGTGTTTTGTCTGCATGTATGTAAGTGTACCCATGTCAATACAATGCCCGAGCAGGCCAGAGAGGGCATTGGATCCCCTGGAACTGGAGTTACAGACAGTTGTTAGCTGCCATGTGGGTACTAGGAACTGAGCCCAGGTCCTCTGGAAGAGCATCCAGAGCTCTTAACCGCTGAGCCATCTCTCCAGCCCCAAGACTCTCCAGTTTTAAGCTTCTGTCCATCAACTGTGACCCCAAGACTACAGATCCTTAATACTTTATCTGAAACCCTGGGGTCTAGATGTGTTTTGGATTTAAATTTATTTTAGAAAGATAATATAGCACTTATTTCTGTATTACTGAACATTTTCAGCATGATCTGGGGCAAAATAAGCATTTCTGTAACAAAAACATATGAATATTCACACTACAGGATCAATGAGGACAATAACTGCCTTGGACCAGGGCAGGCTCTACCATCAAGGAGATTGAGATTAATGTAATCTTGCAGAAAAAGTTTTATTTTTAAGGAATTGCAGATCATGGATTTTGTATTTGGTGTTTTCTTATCTACTTATTAAAAGTTGTATCTGTCTTTAGTAGTCCTGTCCTGTCATTTAGTTAAGACAATGTAGGCATGGTTTTGAGTAATCTGTGTGAATGTGACATGTGGCATTTTCGCTGGAAGGGCAAAAAGAGCAGAATTATGATGGGCACACCATTCTTTGAAGAGCAGGGAAAGAAGATCAATGTCTATGCCTTTGGGTGTTGTAGTTTGGTTATTTATCAGGCACTCCTTTCAACCTTTTAAGCGCATCAAAGGAAGGAGGGGAAAAATGAGAGGCGGTCACCATAACTACATCTTACCCGTTGGTCACAAGCACTGCAAAGGTTTTAAGGTAGGAAAGCAGGCTGATGATCTGGGGTGCTAGCATGAATTTACTTGCTGTCCACATCTAAAAATATCCCTTCTAGTCCTGCACTTATGTGATATCATGGTATCTTGTA